GAGAGAGAGAGAGAGAGAGAGAGAGAGAGAGAGAGAGGCAGACAGACAGACAGACAGACAGACAGACAGACAGACAGACAGACAGACAGACAGACAGACACACAGATGTCTGTCTGACACAGATGGAGAGAGATGGAGAGAGACGGAGACAGAGACAGAGACAGAGAAGATAACGGTGGCGTGGGGTCCGAGGGCACCGTGCGAGTGTCATCGGTACCGCCACTTGTTGGTCGTGTATGGTTTTCTGGTCGCAGAGAGCAACTCCTGTGGGGACTGCGCGCAAAGAGGACCGGATCCCTTGTGCACAGTGCAGGTGTAGACTGACACACTCCGAGAATAGATAGGTTGGAGACAAAAAAATAAAAACAGATTGCGAATATCGACGAGAAGGACAACTTCCGCCAACAATTGTGAAGGTTTGATTCATGTACATTGCGATTGTTGAGGGCATTTTTCGTGTCTCACTGAACAAAAATCGTAGACGCCCACAGCACACCCGGAACTCTGCCATTCGGACGTGTGGGACACCTTTCACAAGACCCTTGTCATACTTCCCTCCAAGGCCGGTACTGTTTTCTCTTGATGTTTGGCACTACGTGCTCTTTTCGTGGTAATTGTAATGGCGTCACTTGGACCGGTGGGGATGAAGAGAACAGAAAAGTACAAGTACAGAACAGAGTTCGGAGCGGGTTCGATAGTGTCAAGACGACGATGACGACAAGAACGACAGCAGCAGCAGGAACAACAACAAAAACAATCCCATCACGAACGGCGTCTGAAGACCTCCAGCATATGGCCCTCGGTGGCTCCTTCGTCGTACCTAATCTGCCCCTCTAGGTCCGGCAAGTTCTCCTTGAAGAAGCGGAACAGCTGGGCGTCTTCAAAGTCGCTGTGCTTCGCGACCTTGCCGAGCAGGCTTCGGAGGGAGCGCTCAATCTTTCCCACGGCCGATTCCGTCTTCGTCGATGAACACCCTAAGAGAGGCACACATAAAGAAAAGAGAGAAAGTCAGGGCAACAGGAAAAACAAAGTACTTCAAGGTGATGGATTATTTACAGAAATATTCATGCTTTGAATTGCTATTCCTCCACCATTTTAGCTTTGAGATATCAGAATAAAAATTGTTGTATTAAACCCCTAGGGGTATCGATTGACCAAAATCATTTACACGGAAGATTTTCTGAGGTGCACAGGGAATGAGAGGCACGGGTGCGTTGTCCTCGCCCTCTAAAAACATATCCAAGGAACTCAGGAGGCGAGGAGGAAGAAGGTTTCGAGGCAGGCAAGAACACTAAGCCTCGAGCACCTGGCATCCCCTCTCTCCCCTTCACGCCCATGCGTGGACGCTTCTAGGCCCGGGTCTGGTGTGCGTCGTGTGCAAAAACACACAAAACCGAAAGCCCTAATCTTGGAGAGAATCTTGCCTTTGTCGTACAAAGTATTCTATGCGTCCGTTCTGCGTGTGTGACACTACCGCACCAACAGGTTTAGGCGTGAAATACATCCGGCACAGAGTTGGTCTTTGGGAGGTCTTGTACCAGGAGCGAAGCGCTTGAACGCCTGGTGGCCATATACACTGTGCTCAGCAAGTGCCTATTAACGTCTCCTTAAAGAAAAAAAAAGTATCCTCTTTCTCTTTCTCTTTCTCTTTCTCCTCCCCATAAAATTTCTCCTACTCCTCTTTCTCTGTCTCTTAATCCCTCCCCATCTCTCTCTATTTCTCTCCCCCTCTCCCCGTCCCTTTCTCTCTCCCTCTCTCCATCTCTCTCTATCTATTTCTCTCTCTGTCTCTCTCTGTCTCTCTCTCTCTCCCTCTCTCCCTCTCTCCCTCTCTCTCTTTATGTCTTCCCAAAGAAAAAAGAAGTGTATTCGAAAGAGCGAACACACCTCCTTCGACGCCCGACTGCATCGACTCCGCCGCCTGGACGATGGATGTGGCAGAGGAGCGAAACTTTCCGTGGACGAACATCCACGCCTTCACCCTGCGGAAAACACAAATCATTTCGCGTGATATTGGTTCGTGGCAACCGTTTGGCTCCTGAACCCTGGAAGTGTCCTACAGGTGGACCCAGACACCAAATAGCAAGCGGAGGCGTGGCGGAAGCTAAGCGCTCTTCATGATGTTCATTCCACGCCCATCCAAAAAATCACTCCAACATTCTATGACTAGATGCGCATACAGAGGAGGTCTCTGTTTAGTGCCAGTATGTGCCCAGAAAATTCATCAGCACTAAACCGAACCGGCACTACTCAAAGTGCTGACAACGACTTGGGAATTCAGTGCGTGCCCGCCGAAAACACCGGCACCATTCACCCGGAACTAAACAGGGACCCCCTCTGTACATGAATTTCTCTTGAGAAGTCCTACCCACGGCCACTGAAGATAGGAAGCTGCTCAGCGTGGACGCGGATTACCAACTACGGCAAGGGGCGGAGAGGTGACATCCCAGCTAGACCGACTTTGGCAAAATAGGAAGGAACGATTTGCCATCGGTGATCGGTCCTGTGGGAACAATGCTCGATCCTCTCGACGACGCGTAGTCAATGGTCTAACCGCTAAGGCATGCAAACTATCAACAGGCCGCCCCCCAATACCGACTCTCAAAGCTCGCTGGCCCCACAACCAAGATTGTACCGTATCGTATACCGTACCGTGTTATTCCGTAAGAGGCGGAGAGATGGCACCCCCCCTAGACCGACTCTCAAAGCTCGATGGCTCCACAACCAAGCGGTACGTATACGGAAAGCCCTCGGCGAGACGTTTCTAAGACCACAATTTGTTGGTACAAGGTTGATTGTGGAGAAATCGAGATTCGAAAATCGGTAAAACAAGGGGTGCTATCTCTCCGCCTCTTACGGTAATCGAGGTCATGGGGAACAGACGATAGGAGTATGTGGTGCCCACCAACTATCAACTCTGGGGACAGCGCCTTGATAGTAATGCCTGCTCGTCCGTGCGTCTCTCTCGCTCTCTCTCTCCGTCTCTCTCTGTCTCTGTCGCTCTCTCTCTATTCATCAATATATATATTATATATATATCCGTCTCTCTCTAGCTCTTATCTCTTCCTCTCTCTTTTTCTCGCCTCTTCTTCCCGGGGTGGGAATCGTAGTGATTCCGCCAGAAATCTTGCTCCGCCACGATCTGCCAGCACCGGACCGCGTCTGCTTGCAAAAAGATGGTAGCGCGCGAGCACGGTACGAAAAGACCGAGAGGCGTGAAAACAACCAAGCGGTAAGGAGGCTAAGGTATATTTAGAGCAGAGGAATACACAGAGCAGGGTCGGTGCAATCAATCAGACTCATGTACTTGTATCCGCACGCCATGGTCGTCAGCTAGACCATGGACCTCACATCCCGGAAGCCACTCTGACACTTGCACTCTGTTGGACTGGGTACTAAAGAGGTAGCAGGGTGCGAGCACCGCACACGGGCCCGCACAGAAGAAACGCCAAAATCGAGGCTCAGTTTCGTATTTCATCGCCACCAGTGGTGTCAACACAGGTTGTGCAATAACATTGTAGGACCCACGCCCGCGGAGCAACGTTTCTTAGGCCTGCTCTGTAAGTTCAAGTGAAAATATTGAGCCCCTGTTTCTGAACGAAATGTATGTAAACTGCAGGCCCGTATTGTACAAAAAGACTGAGAGGCGTGAAAAAAAAACTGATGATGATGAGCAGAAGCATTTAAAGAGAAGGGCGGGTGCAACCAATCATACTCATGTGGCCGCATGCCGTGGTCGTTAGCTAGACCATTGACCTCGCATCTCGCTCACGGTCACGAAGAAAAATCGAGTTGGGGGATCCTAACGACAGTGGCGGGCGAGTGAACCACACACCGCCGGACGACGATTAACCAGCCTCTGGCGCTGCTGCACCCCAATGCACTGAAAAAAACACCACTAGGCAGGATTGCCAGGAATTTTCTGGAATTTTCGTCGGTGCAGGATTTCACATGGGCCGTGCTTGCCGCGCTTGGGTTCGTTACTGTATGTCGGATGAAGCCAAAGTCTTCCGGCTGCATATGCTGAGAAAGGACCGCCTTCGCGAGAATTAAGTACTACGAGGAAATAGATAAATCAGGGAGGGGGTACGCACACCCTATTCCCTAACCCAAACCCTGACCCAACTTCCCCGTCTTGCGTGATTTCGTCCAACATGTTTTACGTGATGGAAAAAACCCGCGAAGGGTACTGGCTGAGGGAACTGTGGGCTACGAAACAAACGGTGGCCGGAAGACACCACATATTCTACAAACCATGCTACAGTATGCAGCTGTAGACAAAGCATCCTCAATGGACGTGTGCTCAGTCACGTGTATACGGTAAGCTGTAAGTGACACCTGAAGGGGATCCGTACAGTCCATTAATTCCCGTTCTGCTTCAGTGGATCCAGCCGGAACTGGAAAACACGTTCGAAAAGAGGTCAACATTTGTGTGGGACTTGCGCAGCCAAATTCTGCCTGGTCAGGACGTCTTCCCTAAAACCACCAAACTGTTCCAAACGACGTACTACTGAATTCCCCATCCTCTATCCCCTGCTTCATCATCGTTGGGTTTTCGCCGTACCCAGCGGAACTTATGCCCTTGTACATTCAGGTAGCATGGAAGACGGAACACTTTTCAGCACACCAGTCGTGTCCAGTATAGGCCTCCAAAAAACATAGCACCAACGCGTACGGGACTACGTGGTAGAGGTGGCGTGGCGACGGCTGTGGATGAATCTCGTTGACCGGAAGGAGGACGCTTGTCTACGAAACACAAGGCACTGCTGGGAGCATGCGGCCATTATCGTGCACTCTAGCCAACCTCAAGGATGCACATTAAGCGGTCCTCGTGTGATACCTCCAACAGCACCTGCCACAGACGATCGACACACGCGTGTCTTCCTCACGCAAACCGCTACGACACGAGCAACCGTGCCTCCATATACGCAAAATATGCGTACAATTGACGATCCAAGATGTATTTCATGACACCCACACCAAACCAGACATTACTAGCTCGCACGAACGAAGGGCGCATGAACAGGTGGTACGCAGAAGGATCCAGAACGTCGGTGGTATCCAGCTTATCTCGACCCAACCATGCACAGCAGCCGAATGCATTCTTTGCCGCCACGAGACCCAGTGCAGAAGCCGAAATCAAAGCATTACGCTGGTCAGGAAAACCATTGGACCGCTCTAGTCAGCGCCGACTTTGCAGCTGAACTGTTGGAATTCGGCTTCAATAGAGACAACTGGAAAACTGAAATGTGAAAATAGACAAACGCGTTTAAACGCAGCAAAAGCGCTGGGACGGCCAAGGTGGCGGAAAAAAAAAAGAAAGTGCTGCGTCGAAACATCGCATCACACGTCGATCGCCACACACGGGGGTGTGCTCTGCTTTTTGCACCAGCACTTCAAAGCAGGTTGTTGATGAAGAGATCGGCATAGGCCACGCAGGTAGGTGAGGTGCTGCACCAGCTCAATCTGTGAGGAGGGTGATCAAGAAGCCTCGCTTTTGCTATCTTGCGCTGTGGCAACGAGAGACAGACCGACCAAAATTTGCCACGAGAGAGAGAGAGACACACACACACAGACAGAACATCAGCAACAACCAACAGGGGTAGGCGTGTACCCCGTTATGTAGTAGAGCTCATCACCGCGCGTATGAAGAATAGGTGCGCTGTTTTCTGTGTGTGCAAATCAATTCGTGTCTAGACAGGCCCGATCTTCCTCTTTCTCCGCCTGGTGTTTCTTCTCCGGCCCACTAACAATCCAGCAGCATCAACAGACAGATGATCAAACACACGTACGATTGCTGCTTTCTGTCTTGGAAAAATTTCCACACCTACCGCACTTCCCACAAGCAGAGCAACCGCCAGAAAGACGTATGCGTAGGTCTGGCTTTCGTTGCCAGCGACAGAGTCCATCCACACAACAGCAGCTTCCGTGGTGCCTGGAGTTTGATACATCAGGCTATCCCACAACGGACAGCGCTCGCACTATAGATCTAAGAACTTTGCAGTAGAGAAGTTGAGACTCGAAAAAATCAGGAGCTGTACTCGAGAAGTTGAGCACCATTTCTGAGCCCGGTGTAAGAACCCCTGCACTAAAAACCAATGTAGCGGCCATATTTTGCCCACAAGAGGAACTAAGAATCGTAGCCTCTCGGCCGAAACTAGAGGTTCCTAATTGCGGGCACCAGCTGCATAGTAGACTACTACTGCTGCTGCTGTTGTTGTGGTGGGTCTTTGCTTGGTCCTCGTACATCTATTTCGTCCCCTGAAAGCGACTTTCGATTTAGGAAAAAGCCGGGCCAGGCCGCTCCTGCTTTTCTATGCATAAATCTGTGTGCCGCTTTCTAGACTGAGGAATTCGATGTTCCCCCGCTTCTGAGGAATGTTCCCAGAACTGGACCGTTCATCCAAAAAAAAATCTAGGAAGTGTCAAACGGTGATCCGACACTCCCCAACATCTCTTGAGAATTCGATGCTCCAGCTCGGCGGCAATAATAATAATGCCCTGTGACAACCGTTGGCTCTTAGCGATCCGTACAAGTCTCTGGGCGACTCCTGATAATTTACACGTCGAGTTTGGCTGCTGCATGTTTCGATATCAGACATACACTCGGCGTTGGGTACACACAGCAAGCAGTTGTGTTATTTTTCCCTTGCACAAAGTCACCTGGCACAGACGCTCCTCCCATGTGCACCCCGAGCGCCAGCAGCTCGCCAGGCAGCTTGCTTTCGTCGGGCACGGGCCGGTCAAGAACCAGCTTCGTCGCGCCCGCCCGCCCAACGAGCTCCAACACATCCGCCACAGGGAGAGGGCTGATCTCGGCGGCACTGCTGCTGCTGATGTTGCCCATGGTGCTGCCCCTTTGCTGGCGACCAACTTTCCGGTGCCCACCGCCGTGTGTTGAACGATTGAAGGAGCAGTTATCGTACGTCTGGCGTCCAAGCCCCTGTAAATGGGGTGTATTGTTGCCCGTGTATCGGAAATGGACTGCTTGTGCGGTGGGTGTAAGCACAGAGCGGCAGTGATTGCAGGGGGCAGGTACGTGGCCGGGTGGCATGGCCGAGGAAGAGAAACGAAAGCGCGCGAGCGCGAGGCTCCGTATATCGTCGAAGAACCGGTTCTATTTTTCGGTCGCGGTACATGTTCCCGCTCGGGCCAACTGCGGCGCATCGTATCCCCGCACTCACTGCTGTAGGTGCTTTTGTTATTAGCATCGACCGCGCTAAGGGTGGGTCCTACGTAATTTTTGGAAAAGTCGAACATCGAACATCGAACAAGCGGATAGTTCGAAGTTCGACTTTTTGGGTCCATTGAAATTTGCAAAAAAGCGTGAAAAAAAATCCCACACACACACGTTTTTGCGTTCAACAGCCCGCGTTGTTGGACCACGCCCGGAAAACCCAAGGGCACTCGACTCTCGAAAAGATACGAGTGTCGAGGAACAGGGACGGCGCCAGGAGGAGGAGCACAAGAAGCAGCCCCACCAGCAAAAACAGCACCGGTTGATAGTAGCTAGCGCTCGAAGCCGCGGGGTGGAACCCCGGCATCCCTTGCGGCCTGATGCCCACATGCATTGCCGCGGGACCCTGCCGACTCACACCAACACTGCTGCAGCTGTTTGGCTGTCCAGCAATGCTGTATGGTTGCGACGGGAAGGAACCCCCGTGTGATTAACCTCACACCTGGCCCCGTTTGTGCACGCGGGGCCCTGGGATCCAGCGCAAACTCGTCGTCGCTCTGTGCAGACATGGGTATTGCTGTTGCTGTCCTGCAAACCTCTCTGTCGTTCTCCCTCTCCCCGAGATTGTGTTTTTTGGTGGTGTGTGTTGGGTGCACGTGCGTGATGCATGCGTGCGGGTTTTCTTTTTTGTCGCCAATTCGGTCCCAAAAGTCCACGGGACTGTAGGTTAGGTATAGGTTTTCGAGTTTTAGGCGGAATCGCCCCTGGAAGATCCGGCGTACAATAACTCGAAAACCCGAACATCTCTTTGGGCTGTTGTTGGACCTTCCTGGCCAATCACATGATTACACCGCTTGTTCGATGTTCGATGTTCGAGTCCAAAAAAATTACGTAGGACCCACCCTAACCGGCTGACCAATGAAAAGACGTCAGTCTTAGTGCGGTTGAAAACACAAAACACTTCTACCATGGACTGTTGTAGGTGTGCGAAAGGAGAGTGAGGTCTCGTTGTTGTGGCCAGCGCATCAGCTTGAAAAGTGTCCGAGGTTTGGTGGATGGAAGGGCAAGAGAGGCTACAGGCTCCAAAATGCAGAAAGCAACAATCATTGGAGCGCATCTCTCCCGGGTTGCGGAGAGCATGGCGGCGAAGGGGCAAGCCTTATTGTTCAGACTGCCACTGAATGCGCACGTCAAACATCGCCGAGCATGATGAGCTTGCTGAGGCGCAGCATACGCCGCGGCGCCACACACGATGAAAAATCGTTGCTGGGCCACCTTATTATGGGGATTGTGTGTGTACCCCAACACGAAGCAGCAGAAGCTGACGCCCACCAACGCTAGTCGTCGGTGTGATAGCTCGTGGAGTTTGTAGCAGCAGAAGCACAGCACTTCAGTGCAGAAGATGGAGAGATGTGGTAAACACGGGGCTTATGTGGCCAACATAGACAGATACACCCGACAGACGGTTGTAGTCCAGGCAGTATGCCAGCAGCATCCAAGGTACGACAAGGACATCTAAAGTACCCAGACAGTCCGATAAATCATAGAGAGAGATACCGAAGAGTGAGGTCGTGCACCGAACGACAGACCGAGCTACAGACTACAGCTAGTTCCTCTGCATGCGTTACGTTCCAAACGATACATAGATAATACATACGTCATTCGTCTACATAAGCAGTAGTACTGAACATTGACTAAGACAGGAGATGCGTAGGCATTCCCATAACACTCCCTTCAATGAACGTTGTCTGCGACAACATGCGAAATTTGATGACCGTTTCATGCGAAAAATAGCTGCCAGCAATATCTGGTGAAATGAGTGTACACAAATAAACAATATAAAAACAGATTGATCACACCGTGATTCAGCAGTCATTAGCTACTCCCCGAAGTTCTTGATGAGGTCAAGTAGAAGACGGAGGCGATGATTGCTCGGGAATTTGGTTCCGATGTCGGCGAGTTGATGATCCGTAGAAACTTAGTGGATGGTGATTGCGCCTTCCTTCACCAGCTCTCGAACACAGAAGAAAAGTAAGGCGATGTGTTTCGTACGGGAACTGTAGGCTTGATTCCCGATTACGTGAAGGGTGGCCGTGTTGTTTATGTACAACGGCACTTGACCGAACTGCTGTCCGAACCCTAACTCAGTCATCATATTAGAGCAGAACACCGCTTCCTTCATCGTTAGAGCTGCAGCCAGCAGCTCTGCCTCCATGGTCGACATTACCGTTAAATCTTGCAGACCCGTCTTGAAGCTTACGGGAGCCTTCGACATCATGATCATGTAGGATGAAGTCGACCTCGCATTATCAGGGTTGCTCTCCCAGTTGGCATCCGAGAATGCGGTCAGTTTGAAGCCTCCTCGCTTGTACGTGATGCAAAAATCCTGTGTACCCCGTAGAAGATGCTTAGCAGCACCCATGTGCGCCTTCGCTGCCTTGGACATCACGCGTGCAAGCTGGCTTGTAGCATGACATCGCACCTAGTAATCTGAGCGAGATACATGATCGATCCGGTGATGGCCTGATACCTCTGCGTTTTCTCCTTATTCAGAACAGTCTCGGTAGGCTGCTCCGTGGATAGCTCCGAACCAACGCTTGGAATACTCGTGGGCTTGCATTCCTCCATACCAAACCGCGCAAGAATGGACCTTGTGTAGTCGGCTTGTGTAATGGTGAGCGTTCCATGTTCACCATCACGAGTGACCTGCATCCCTAGCACAAGTGACACATTCCCCAAAACACTCATTTGGAACTGCTCCATAAGCTTCGTCTTAATTGCTTCTATCACTTCGATGTTTCCGCCGATGACGACAAGATCGTCGACGTAGAGGGTGATGATCACAATCGTGTGATTGCGCTTGTAGATGTACACGCAGGAGTCCGACTTGAGTGGGTTACACCCAAGTTCGATGAGTTTTAGATCGATTGTTTTCTAGCAGTTCTGGGAGCTTTGAGCTGATCCGTATTGACTCTTTCCAAGCTTCATTACAAGCTTCTCTCCGTTTGCGTTACTGGCTTCGAAGCCAGGTGCCATCTTCACAAACACGTCCTCCTCTATGTCAGCATAAAGAAAAGCAGTTTTGACGTGAAGTTGGCGTACCTCCCAGTCCATCTCAGCAGCAATGGCAAACACCATCCGCACACTTTGCAGTCTGCAGACAGGAGCGAAGGTTCCACCGCAATCCTTTTCCGGAACTTGATTCCAGCCCAGGGCTACCAGTCTCGCCTTGTACGTGCAGTCGCGCTGACCTTGAACACCCATATAGAACCAATGACATCTTGATTATCAGAAACTTCAGATAGCGGAACGAGCGTATAAACCTTTAGCTCTTGAAGACTCTTGATCTCCGTCTCGGCTGCTTGTTTCCATAAGTCTGCTTCCGCGAGCTCCATGGCCTCTTCGAAAGTGCCAGGTACCTTGCTCGTTCCCCTAGAAGAACGACTTTCGAGTTGGGTGCTTGTTGCTGCATAGGTGTACTCGACAAAGCCAAGCTGCGCATCTTCGTGCGCTAAATTTACGTCGGGAAACTCCCCCTTCGCGAAGTAGGCAAGCTTTTTGAGTTCGCGAACAGATCCCGCCGTAGGCACACTCCCAGCACGAGCAAACCTGGAACGAAAGTTTCGAGGAGGAGTTGACGTAGCCCTGCCACGCGTGGAAGGGGCAGACCCGGAAGTCCGACCACGCGCAGGACTACCTCCCGCTGGAGCAGGTGCAGGAGTGGGAGTACCCTCCCCTTGAGCAGTGTGGAAGTGTCTCCCGGAGCAGCAGCTGGTGAGGATTGTTGCGCAGAAGAAGACGGAGCACCCGAAGACCGAAGGTCTCGGGCAGTTGCTTCATGAATTTGGTCGAGAAGAGAACGCACCCACACGTCATCTGACATGCGGTATTCCGAAGACGAGTCATCGAGATCAACGCGTGACATGTAATTGCACAAGTCGCGAATGAGATCCTCAGAATCGTCGTACGAAAATGTGCCCTCATCAAACCCACTCACCACGCCCGGTTCCGGCATGGCCGACGGTGTCTCGATGAAGACGACGTTGCGGCTCTCGCGTACTCTCCTCGTTTCCGGGTTGTCAATCCGAAAAGATTTGCTGTCGACGCTGTAGCCAACCAGCCGTCCTTCCCAGGGACGAGCATCAAGCTTGTTGGTATGGGTCTCCACGTGAACAAAGCTCTGGCTCCGATCGCCCGAAGGTGGCCAAGATAGGCCTCCTTGCCATGAAGGGCCTTGAAGGGCGCCACGTTGTCCAAAGCCGAGTGTGGAGCACGGTTGCTCAGATACGAAGCGGCCATGAAGAGCTCTCCCCACAGAAAGTGCAGTAGACCAGAGTCAGCAAGCAGACAGCGTACCATACCCGCTGGCGTTCGTCCGATCCGTTCATTCGCGCCACTTTGTTGAGGAATGTTTGTGGAAGCAAACTGTAAATTGATTCCGACATCACGTCAGTATTTGCGGAAAGCCGAACTCGTGTACTCTCCACCATTGTCCGCCCGCACACATTCTAGCCGCAGTTCACGTGGTGTCACGACACATTGGTTAAAAAGCTGAAGAGCATCAACTGTAGCACTCTTCTCCTTCATCAGGAAGACTTCATTCCACTTGGTGTGCTGGTCGACGAACTTGTTGATGTACAGGAATCCTCCCAGTGCCGGAGGTGAAAATGGTCCGATACCTGTTTGGGATAATTCTGTTTTTTGCTTTTTCCGACGGCGCAAACGTCGCAGGCGCTCAGCTCTCCGTTATACTCGACACCATTCCCCTGTACCTTTCGCAAGATGTCGAAGCTCCTGCCGTGGATGTGTCCTACGCGGCGATGCCATAGGGCAGCAGACTCGACCCGCAGAGCCACACCAGAGATGTCGCCCGTTTCAGGGAGGTCCATCGTGAAGTGGTATAGCTCATCGCCCTCCTAGAAGTTAAAAGGTAGTACCGCGTGTCCTACCTCCAACCGCGGTCTAACAGTGTCGAAGACGGTGGCAACACCGTGTTTCAGGCACTCTTTGGCGAAGAACAGGTTTCTCTTTAGACTTGGAACCACATATGCGTTGAAGTTGACGGCGATTTTGCGACCATGAACATCAGAGACCAAGCCGTGGATTGTGCCTGTTGCAGTCCCTTCCAGCTGATAGTCGCCAGCTACGTAGATGTGGCGTGGTACTGCTAGGATAGCGTAGTCAGTCATGTACCGATGCAAGTCTGGAGTAAGGAACGGATCCAGGTAGTGATGCGATGCTCCACTATCCACCATCGGAGTGATGGATGAACCACGTGGAGGAGGCGCACCCTGCAGGGCAGAAGGCGTAGCCAAAAAGGTCACGCCAAAAGCACCAAAGAGCCCGTTTGAGCTGTCCTGTTCCTGGCGCCGCTCAGCAGCAGGACCAAGCTTCAGGGACGGAACCTCTGTTGCCGCAGGTGATGTTGGAGCTGCTCCTCCCGATGCACTGGATCTGGAGTCGACGGCGGCGAACGTCAAGCCGAAAGATGGTAACTTTGTTCGATCCCCACGTGTCCGCTTCCGATCACGTTCGCTTGGGCCGACGGCGTCTGACTGAGTTCGTTCTGTTCCTTGCACTCGGCGTCGGAGTGTTTTCGTTTTGAGATGAGAGCACCACTTGTCTCCGCCGCTTCCCCGTTTCCAGGGCTTCTTGCCTTGCCGTCGATTTCCTTTCCCTTTGCCGTGTTTCGGATACTCGTTGGCATAGTGCCCAGACTCTTGACAGTTACGGCACTGGACGTTGCTCGATTCGGCCGACATGGCGACCCCACGGCCAGCTACCGACGGACCAGACGACTTGCTGGAAAGTTCGTCGATGTACATATTTACCATTGTTGTGCGAATTTCAGTGAGGCCGAACGTCCTGTCTTTGTGGCTAGTCTGTCGTATGAAATGGTTTTCCTTGGGCAGTGCCCGCAAAAGCACGTCTTCATAGCTCTCGTCAGGAGTTTTCTCCCCCATGTCCTCCAGACGCAGGCGGAGATCGTCCATTTTGGCTAGGAAGTCCGAAGGGTCTTCACCAGATTTCATCGCGGTATGGAACAACTTATCCCGACACGCACGGCGAGCTTCTTTTGAAAATCCATCAAAGCGATCCTCGGGAGCTTTCCACGCCCCTGCACCGTCTCCTGGGTTTCGCTTTGTGCCTTTGAACGGTTTGACGGTGATGTGGGCGGATCCTTCTGTCCCGAAGAATAAAATCGAGAATAGTTGAGAATTGGTCCTTTGCCACGTGGCCACTTCCGCCGGAGTGGCGGACGTAGGGTCTGGACATGGGACTCCGTCGAGGACGTCGAGCATATCGACGGCGTGAAAACTTACAGCTTCACGCATTTTGTCTCTCCAATCCCGAAATCCAGGGCCAGAGCATTTTTTGATTGACTCAAGAGTCCTGTGAAACGATGATGATTCCGTCATGACAGCACGAAAAATCAATCTAAGTCCCCCCCAGAACCCGACAACTCTTGTTCACAACGCGACAGGCGCGTTGTTTGTTCGATGCTGCACTCAAAGCACAGGCTTTTAGGTGTGACTGCGGCCCGAAAGCACACGATCTCCCCCTGTCCAGGAGATACAGATAAGCGTTCCCCCGAACTACTGAACGCGTGGAGCGTACAGCAGAAGACCGACCGCGGATGACGCAGCCGCGGTATTTTGACGTCGAAGTAGTCAACTCCGGCCACGTCCTGCAGGCACACGGGTCAGATGCACTGCTCAGACTTGCTACACTCTTTTTCAGTGCAGGCTTTTTCGGTTGCAGCACCGGGGTGCGAACAGGCCAAAGTCTGCACAGCGGCACAACTGTGACAGCCTTTGCTGCGGGGCTCGCGCGCAGATTCCCGGGTGGGAAGATCGCCCGGGAAGACGATATCCCTGTCATTCGCTGACGTGACCGTTCGCGGATTACGTACGCATTCCCAGGCGTTCGGACAAACAGGGAGGCGGACGTACATCTATGTCAAACCCGCGGCGTTGAATATTGGCCGAAAAACAACGCCGTTACAACCTGGGAGAGGTATTTTAAGATGTACAGCATATCCACTGTGCTACAAGTCAGCGGCTGACTTGTAGCATAGTGGATATGCTGTACATCATAACAATAGTACAACCGGGGTCCTTCAGCCTGTTATAGCTGTTGGACCTCGGTAAACCCCAGCGTTGTAATCCCTGTAATCAGCGCTCCCCCATGCGGTTCATCGACTTACAGGCGGGAATATGTGTCTTCACTTGAACGACTTGTATACCGTCTCTCAGGCGTATCCCAGACTTTTTCGGAAAGAAGGCGTCACAAGTGGTCCACGAGGGATTCGAACCCCGATTGTAATTTTTGGTTGTGAGCCACTGAATCAGCGCAGCGCCGGGTTCTTCGTGGAGCGGACGCGGTGTGTCTGGGCACTGCTGTACATCCTGGATTGGGTCTTTGGACGAAGATCCGCAATGAGTGAACCCGCTTGCTTGCTGGACACGGACTGATCACCTGGCGTTTACATCTGCACTCTCGGTACGAAAGGCACTAATTTGTGGAGAGCATTCGGGGGCACAATTTCAAGGCGTTGATCTTGGTCGGCGAATAGGATGGTGCACCTGTGCTTGTAGTTCTTTCCGCGCGCCGATACATTGGGTCGGGACGTGTGTTTGCTCCTAATACCAGGCAGAACAAGCAAATTCGACCTCTGATCGGTCAGGTCTTCGGCCAAGCATTCCCGCCAGCAGCAGCCAACGTGATCTTCCGTGTTGAAGGCTTGACCCACTTGATCTCCATGCACAACAGCACAATCAATTACCGATTGGCCAAGTCGTCGGCCAAGCGTAGCTGACAGCAGCAACCAACGTTCGTCTCATATATATAGGCCGCCTTAGTCTCGAAGCCCTCACGCATTTCTTTGTGGGGCCTGTTACCCGCGTCAGACATGTCACTGAATGCTGCTCAATGGATCGTAGAAACACGAGTGGTTCGCCACAAATGCTATGAATTCATTGGAGGTTCGCCACTGACGATGTGAATTCACTAAAAATCGAAAATACATATCCTCGACCATAACCATATGGATTGAGATGGATATTATGAAGAAAAATCATGAAAAAACATGATGTATTACGTTCTCCGCTCCCTCCAACGCAAACGTTCACACTTTCCGAAGGCGGTAAGCTGTTGCGCATGGCCAAGGAATGTCGCAAGCCTTTATCGGATACTACCCCCCTCCAAAAACGCCGACTACAAAAAACTATTGCTCTCTGTATTATGCCCCCAGACACCTGTAACGACGAATAGGTTTCTCGTCATCAAACATAGAGTAACATCCGTCATTCTGCGGTACATGCCAGGCGGGAGGGGCCGAGTCCTGCACCCCTTCCGGGAAAAAAACTCGTCCTCCCTTTCATGAAATCGCCGAGACAAGAGGCACTGCTCACACCGAGGAACGTCTTCAGCCTCAAAACCTTAAACACTGATCATCGCCAACTCGAAAACAACTCACCATCCGTAAAAACCAGACAACAAGCCCCGACAGAGACATTCGATCTTTTGGGGATCATGCACGGTTGCAAACTGCTGTCCCTTGACCGCAGGTTCACAGAGAGACCACTCTCAGACGGCCACATGAAAACGCCGTTGGGAAATGAGAGAGCGTGACTACGTTGAGGCAACGTGGAGGGGAGGACCACCATCCTGACATGTCGGGAGCAACAACAGACACGAGCTAAGTGAATCTCTACCGACAGCGACATGGGGCGGCTAATAATCCAGCCTTGGGCACGATTACGGGAAATTCACCTGCTCGCTACCGGTACTTCCCCTACCTATGGTGGTGTCCGACGTGTGCTCCATGATCCGATGCCTTCCGTGATATATCTAACAACGCATTCGTACGTTGACTATTTCAGAAAGGTACAATGGAAAATCTACCACTACATATCGGTGACGTCGAGGATGCCAACACGCATGAATTCCAACCATCCAAATCGCAGGCGGAGGGAGGCGGTACAAAGGAAAACTAGGTGTCCATCTAAACCACGTTGCAGCACGTTGCTGAACAACTAGCCCGTGCATTTACCCTCTGTTTCGCCAACGCTGTGTCGCAGGCCGTTCCCTGCAACAACACATAGAACCGTGTGCACCATCACAACATAACATTTCTCACTATTTTACTCCGTCTGAACCAGGCCTTTTTCCGTCAAACAAAGGCACAAATGAAGTTTGCGTCTGCAAAAAACAAAAAACATATCAGTTCCTGTCGTGTCCTCGCCTCACTCCACATGTCTCCGTCGGATAACGGCACCACTCATGTCCGCATCTCCAAAACAAAAAAAAAGACATAAAACCGTCGCAGCCATGTCCTCTTCTCAACGGCATCAATGACTTCAAAGCCTCCAACAGACCAAGAAGAATTATTTCCGTCGGTCGTTCGTTCGCTTTACACTGACAGTGACTGCATCTGTCTCCGTCAAACACCACCAACATCCGCATCTCACAAAACAACGCAAGGAAATACCCGTCGCCGTTGTGTCCTCTTCTGACCGAACCTGCCTCCGTCAAACAACGACACCACTAACTTCGCGTCTGCAACAAGCAAAAAGAGTGCAACATCCACAGCAGTCCTGTTCTCCTCTGACCGAGCCTGTCTCGGGTAAAAAACGACATGATCAAACTCCGCATTTAAAAAAAAAAAAAATGAGAAACCGTTGCCATCGTGTTCTCTTCTGACCGAACCTGTCTCCGTCAAACAACGACACTACTGAACTCCGCGTTTGCAACAAACAAAAAAAGAAACATCCGCAGCGGTCGCGTTATCTTCTCTGACCGAATAGTCGATGTCTCGGGTCCAACAACAGCATCATCAAACTCCGCATCTCAAAAAAAACAAAAAAGGAACGACCGTTGCCGTCGTGTCCTTTTCTAACCCCACTTGTCTCCATCAAAAACCGACACGGCTATAAACTCCGCGCCTGGAACAAACAGAAAAAAAGTATGCGGTCGTGTCCTCTTCTGACCGGACCTGTCTCCGTCAAACAACGCCACGACCAAATTCCACCCTCAGCAACTCTTCAAGAAAATAGGCGTTCGCTCCGTCGTGCTTCCTCTTGTCACTGCATGGCCTGCAGCACGGCGTGCCTGGTGCAGATCACGATGGCCGCGGAGCTCAACACTACCACTACCAATGCCCCAGCCTGGTCGTGTCGCATCAGTAAGGCAGCGCAACCGGNCGTTCGTACTACGTAGTTTGTCGCATAGTCCACGACTACCGTATATGACACAAGATAACACACCCCCTGGACCGATTTTCAAAGCTCGATCATTCCACGACGAAGAGGATGCACAAACGAAACGAAACTGTTTCGGAGAGCTCTCGACGAGACGGGTTCAGCGCCGCCTTTTTTTCGGCCCTGACCTGTTTCTGCTGTTGATAAATCGAGTTTCAAAATCGGCCAAAAGGGCTGCGTTCTTTTGTTTCGTACCAGTATTCGGTAGTACACAGCACGTGAGGGTTCGAGAGAAGTCGAGGATGGGAGAGAGTCGCTCGCAAAGTAGGAAAACGGCGGTACACCTTGTGGACGTCTCGCCAAGTGCAATGTCGAGCAAGCCAACACGCACAGGTCACGGCATTTGGAAGCTTTTCACTATCCAGCCGGCTAGCGAGGCTTGATGCTAGCGACAAAAGAGACAGGCATGACCCTTAGAACCAGTCCCGGCAAGCTATTCACAAGGACACACTACACCGGAGTGTGCCCTCAAGATGACATGGCAATTTCGGAGACATTTCCGTGAATTATTTCCACAAGATTGAAACGGCTTCACGGGTCAGTGAGTCAGCCCGATGGATGCAGACACAACACATTACACACATACATTTACCTGGGTCCCTGCCTAGTGCCGGCATGTGCCCAGAATTTTCCCCGGGACTGTACCCGGACCGGCACAACTCGAAGTTTTGAGAATGACATGAAAAGTCAGTGTGTGCCCGCCGAACCACCTGCACTATACCGGGCATTGGCACCACTACACAGGGATCCCCACTGTAGAGTCCAAAGCAAGGGCATAAAAAAAAAAAAAAGGTCGGCCAGGGGCCGGGCATAACCGGGCGTGGATGGGGTGGGGGGGGTGGGGGGCACCTGGGTTCAAGAGAGACAGGCGGGGTGGACGTGTAAGGACGAAAGGCGTATGTATCTGTGCAGTGACACGCCGCGGACTGACTGACCTTGCGCTTGTTGAACTGCTTGTGCCACCTGATCTTGAGGTAGAACACCCCCGGCAGGAGGTAGCAGATCATGAACCCCACCTAAGGAAGAACCATCACCGGCAAGCAGAAGAGAAGAAGACGAAGAAGACCAGAACACCGTCAAGAACAAGAACAAGGACAAGGAGAGGAAGAACATGAACAGAACAATATCAAGGACAAAGAACAGTAAACGTCAACAACAGGCAACATCAAGAACAGGAAGGACAAGTGACCCACACACGCTTGCTGTTCCGGTCCCTTTTGTTCCCCTTTTGTTCAACGGCTGGTTCATAGCCGAAAACGAGTCAAACAACCACCACAAGAATGATCCATCAATCGACCATACTAGCCAAGGAGAGTAGACCCCCGTCCAGATCAGCAGGGCGAGGAAGAGCCTGTCGCTTTCATCCCTCGTAACGTAGTCATGGGAAAAAACAGCACCAACAAGGTCGCGAAGTTCCCGTCTCGCGCGCTAAATAGTCATCCTTGAGCGAGACTCGGCGTGGCGACATTGAGATGTGTGCTCAAATCTACGTCGCAACTGGTGCTACTCTCTCTGTACTCAATCAACACAGGAAAAACAAACGCAGTGACGCGCCTGCGTTGTCGAGCAGGAAAGGCTTCAACCAGGGCTACACTACACCGCAGCCAGTGGTTTGAAACAAGCAAAAAACCCAAACATGTTTTCAACCTCCAAGAGTCCATTTCCCGCACCCAAACTAAGGAGCAAGCAAGCTATCCAATTCGAAAAATATAGCATACAGTAGTGGTCCCAATATACATGACGGTGCAGTGACAGACGCGTTATATCGAGGCCCGCGCTACTGGGGGAACGTCCCTGGTTGTATTAGTCTGGCTAGGTTGGGCCAAGGAAATAAAAATACGAATACTGCGGTGTATCGGGAACTGCGCTATTCGGGACCGCGGCGTATCGGAACGGACCAACACCGTAACGACGGATGATACCTCGAGCAATCGACGCGGCCGACCATCCCCAGGATTCAGGCGATCACCACAGCCCTCGGCAAATAGATGGCCGACCCCTTACTTGTTCGGCAAATGTGTGGCCAACTTCTTAGAATTTGGATTTCTCCGGCAAATGTATGGCCAACTTCTTAACAGTATGGATTCTTTTTAGGCTGCTAAGCTCCTAGGTGATCGCATGCCAATGTATCGTAGCACATGCATGTGAAATCGACCGAATGAGGCAGCAGGCATCCAATGAGAGACCCGCCACATGCAAGTAGAATCGTCTAAATGAGGCAGCAAGCATCAATTGACGAAAACTTACATGCACCGACATCAAAAAAGAAAGATGTTCGTACTGACGATGCGCAAAATGCTCCGACGACGCACACGCCACCTTTTTTTAACTTGGATTTTTCGTAGGATAAACTTCTGAGCTGCCAACCTCTTCAGCGGTGGCGCGTTCTGTATCCACCAACCGAAAATGGACAATTGTTCTTACCGATGATCCGCAAATGCTCCAGACGACGCCTACGCCTGGCACCGACAGCGCACAAAAGAGCGAGAACCCCATGATGGCGACGGTAGTCGCCACGTGTCGCACCGCCTGCAAAAAAAAAAAAAAAACGAAAAGGATTTTATTGCGTCCCCAAAACTGAAAGAACACACGCACACACATACTCTCCGGAAAAAGCTTAGCTTTCGCCAATGACACGCCCCCTCACGGGGTCCTAGTTCATGGCACTTGGACGTTTTTCGCGTTTCCCACCGCACTGAGACTGACTTCTTTCCATTGATCCGTTGGGGTTGTCGCGTTCGGTGCAAATAACGAAGACACACACGCAACCTCGCGTAGCACGGGCGGGAGAAAACGATGTCCTGTGAAATTTCTTGTGATATTTGTACATACACGGTGTTTTCGTGATTGGCACCTGCTGGCGTCACTGACAAAAAGTCAGTGTATGGGCTTCAATAGACCCTGAATAAGCTCAGGATTTAGCTCGTTGATTCCCACTCACTGTGAAGACTTCTACACATCATCTTCGACTGCGTTGGCGTTTTCTCGGACGGGTAGTCTTTCTGTGTGTCAAATATATAGTACTTTCTAAGAGGTATACACAGAGCAGGAAACGGCCTGGAACGGCCTAAGGAGATATCGACCTCAAACTTCGCGCGTGACTTGTCCCTAACACCCAAACACGCACTCAGTGCGAAAAAACAGAGAAAAACGCCCGGGATTCTAGGTATTGAACCCAAAGCGTTGTTGTTGTTGTTGTTGTTGTTGTTGTTGTTGTTGTTGTTGTCTTCACATCAAAAACCGTCCCGTTCTCTCTGCCCTGTGCCTTCTTCTGTCCGTACTAGTCTAACACTTGACGGGGCCGATTCCCGTGGTCACGGGGTAACGTACTCAACAAAGGTACACAAAAATAGAATGGACCCGGAGGGTCCGCAAGCCAAAAGGAGTCGAAGCGTGCCGCAAATATATTAGTCTTCCGAATACCCTAAAAAAATATTTCTACAAGATAAAAAAAAAATCAACTTGTGTAGTTCGCTTTTGCGTGTGCGCGAGAGCTATGTAGGCTCAGAATATGTTGCGCTTTGCGCCCTGCGCAACCATCCCGTCTTTCTCTGAAGCACCGGGAATCAAAACGGATTAATGCCAAAAAACAACAAGACAGCGGCTGTGTCGAACGGTAGAGAGACACCTTAGTGTGCAAACAAAAGGCAGAAGTATGTAGTAGGACGTGGGCCGGTGAAAAGTAACACTCGACAACAAACTTTCTTTAAGATTAGGGGTAGGGGATACGGTGTACGTCTCGGGAAGGCGGTCCCGCAACACACACATACTCCCACGATAACGTGCATACACATACACACGACCTCTCGAAAAACGGGACGAAAATCAATTCCACGAAAGCGAACGTGCGTGCCGCACCAGGAAGAAGGCTTTCGACTTGTTCACCCTCGTGCCCCCCGGGGTGGTCAGCTCTTCCCCGCTACCGTCCACCGGCAAGTAATCTTTGCCGCCTGCGCACCACCCCTAGCGAAAAAAAGCGAGAAATGCGAAAAACAAGAAGTGACAAAAAAGTGAGAAAAAAACAATGAAAAAATCGAAAAAACGAAGCGAAAACAAGGAGCAAGAGAGCAGAAACGAGAACCACAGCAGCCGGTAGTGGTCGTGTTGGAGAAAATCAAAACACGCGCGCGGTGAGCAAGCGATGAGAACAATGGCAGTAGTGCAACGTGTTGATTCGTGCAGTTATTGTTGTTGCTGTTGTTGTCTTCACATCAAATTAACGTTCCGGTCTCCTCTGAGTGCCTTCAAGCATCCTTACTGGTCAAAGCTGATGCGGACGCCTACGGTGTTCACAGACATACAATTCTTGGAAGGACAAAAAAACGACGTGGAAATGGTATGGCTAGGTCATTTGCGTGCGTTTTGTGTGTGGGATCCCGCATGCGATAAGGACGCCGGCACAAACCAGAACAACACCGCGCTCTCCGATACCGTGAACGAAAAGCCGTAACAAGCCCGGTTGTACCGGGGATACCCCTCTTGGAGAAGGGAGGCGACAAAGCACACGTGTGAGGTCGACGTCTGCGCTCTTGCAAGAATATTGGTAACGGGCGACAGCTTACTGGGTGCGACGCCCTAAGAGGAAGATTGACCAGGAACCCGAGTGGAATACATCATGCTTTCGTATAAATGGACAGCCACGGAAAATGAGATCGCTCTTGTAGAGCCCATTCAACGTGAAAAATAAAAAAAGTGGACACCAAAGAGACGTACGCAACCCGTTGAAAAATCTAAAGGACGCGCTGAAGCCGTCACAGAGCTGTTCAAAGAAAAGAGCACAATCAGAGGGCTGTCCCAAAATAAAGTACACAAATCAAAGAGCTGCCCCCAAAAAAAAAACACAGCCAGAGGGCTTGCACCTCCCCCCCCCTCCAGAAAAAAGCCAACCATGTTTACGCGCGCACAATCGACGGGTCCCCCACCTGCAGCTTCGCGGCGACGGAGTCCATCACCAAAAACACGATGTCGCGGCACGGGAGCACGAGAATCGTGATTGCCACGAGCATCGTCAGGCCCATGCCCACCCTGCCGACGATCATCACGCGGTCGCTCGGCGCAAAGTTGAGGAGGATGTCGTCCTGCTCAGCGAATTTTTGGGAAAAAACGAAATAACATTGAGAAGAAAATGGTGTTGAGTGCTGAGGGAAATGCCATCCTGTCCACCAGCGGATTGAAACATTACAGAAACTGACAAAAAACGAAAACAAAGCAACCCTTCAAAAAACGAATGGATCCGAAAAAACGAAATCGAGGAGAGTCGTCCAACACAGCAATCCGCAAAAAAAAAAAGCACTTGGTAGAGAGCCCTCTGAGACTCCAAAGTTGAGGAGGATGTCAACCTGCCGACGAGTTGACAAGAAACGAGAGAAAGAGTGAAAAAATATTAACAAAAAACAGACTTATGGGAAAACCCTTTTAAAACTGAAGAAAAACGTAGTTGAAGAGGATGTCGTCCTGCCCAGCGAGTTGAAACGACAAACGAAATAAAAAAGGCAAGGTGCCATGTATAAGGTAGAGCCCATTTTCAAGTACGTACCGATTGAGCTTGTGAACCTGGTGCATTCAGTAACACCGCTGCTGTCCGATCACTTCATGCAAGTCTCGGATTGGATGAGGCCTCTGGGGATCTAGGTATAGATTGGGAGCTTGTGAACCTACCGTGCTTTTACTCTCGGACACCATCGTCGACGATCACTTGATGTTAGTATGGATTGGATGGGTGAGGCCTTCGGGCAAACAGGTACCGGTTGACCTTGTGAACCTGCTGCGTTGCATTCTTTAACATTCGATCACGATGAACGCCTTGGAAACAGTACCGCTTGACCTTGTGAACCTGCTGTGTTGCACTATTGGGGAGGTTCCGCGAGTACCGGTCGGTCTGTACCCGCCCATAACACCGGTACTATTGTACCCAGCGTCGGCGCTACATTCAACCGGTACTACTGAGGGCCCCTGTCTGTTAACCTTACCCCTAACTCCATCGGTCACCTGAGTGTCCTCGTACGCGTAGAGGTACCCGCACAGGGCGAGGACGATGTAGAGTCCCGAGGTCAAGCCCATGGTGCCGTGCAGAAGCCCCTTCAGACGCTCGCGGGTGGGGTTAACGAAATGCGAATGCACCTGCACATCCACAAAATAAAAACACGCCGGTTTCCTTATAAACACATGTCGTACAATTCCCAAAATGCCTCAATCGCCGTAAAAATATCATTCCCCGTCACCCCCACCCAACATGATGTGTGCACCTGCGCACAAAAAAGGAACGAACACGCTGGTTTCCTACTAATAGATACCATCGTACAATCCCAAGAATGCCTCAATCCCCGCAAAAAAATCATTCCGCGCCACCCCCTTCCAAAATGATGTGTGCACCTACACAAAATAAAAGTAACGAACACGCTGGTTTCCAATTAATACATACCATCGTCCAATCCCAAGAATACCTCAATCACCACAAAAAAAAAACATTCCCCGTCACCTCTACCCAACATGATGTGTACACCCGATGTGCACAGGAAATGCAGGCAGAGGATGTAGAGAACGGCTCCTATATGTTGCCGCCACCTCCCACCTCCCACATCGCGAAGGAGCATCCCCCGTCACCCCCCCACCCCCCCCGTCACGGCAGGCCGATGGGATGTTGAAGCGGCACAGGAATAACAGGCAGAGGATTTAGCGAACATCTCTTCCATGCTGCCACCTCCTCCCACCCACCCCCACCTGCCGTTCCCCACACCAAGAGCAAGCATTCCCCGTCACTCCCACCCACCGGGGG